CTATCTATATACAACGGACTGAAATGTCACATATTACATACAGCCCTGCTCCGTTTTCACAATATTTACTATGTTTGAATGCCTAATTGTAGCCTTTGTGTCAATTGTATAGAAACTCTTAGTCTTTTTCACTGACCCTCCACTTTACCAAACATGATGTCCTTCCTCAAGGATTGGTTCCTCCTGATAACAGGTCCAAAGCACGTAAGATAGTCTTACCAATTCTCTCATCTAAGAAGTATTCTGGCTTCATTGTTTCTAAGACAGATTTGTTACTTCTTTTGTTTAGGTCTCACTTTTTCCATCTATAAACTAGAAATAATAATTACATACCAGAGAACTAATCTGAAAGTTGAAGGAAAGAACAAGTGTGAAGGAGGCATTTGTTTTCAGTTCATGACAGTGGCTTTTAACATTCTTGGACCCTTTTACAAGCAAGTGTGGACCCAAATAATTTTTTTAATTACTTTGAAATTTAATATTTACTTAGTACTTACTACATGTTTGGTTTTACTGCTTCATACTGAATATATTTTTAAGATTTCTGTCTCACTTAAAATATTTTTTAAAAAAACCCAGGCCCGTGCACTAGGCTCTCATTGGCTCCAACAAGAGGCCTCCGGCCCACACTCAGCAGTAACGAAACAATCTAGAGCTGGCCCCCATCCAACACTCACCCCTTCAAAGCCAAATGAATTTTAAAAAACCCCAGGCCCATGCACCAGGCTTTCATTTAAGACAAGTTTGGAAGCAGGAGTAGCGTCCACTTCCTAAATCACATGCCTTTGGAAACTCTATGAACTTGAAGAAACAACAATAATTATAGAAAGGCCTCAGGTCTTTTGTTCATAGGGTTGCTATGAGTCTTGCACGACTCAACGGCAGTCAACAACAACATGTCACTTAAGTTTGTTTTCTTTTTTTTTTTAATAATGTGCCTGGCTTAGAAGGATCTCATTTTCACATTGACTTCAAGAAATGAATTTCCTTCTATAGCTTCAAGTTTTCTCATTTGCAAAGATGTTAATCCTTGCCCTTTGTTTTTCAGAAGGTCTCTATTTAGCTAGAAAAGAGAATGTTGCTATGAAAAGAATTTATAAACATTTGAGAGGAGTGACAGTTATATTTTTAGCCATAAGTTGAGCTGAATTGTCACTTAAGATCATTTGTGCATTTTCATTTGAGTCAAGCAGGTAAGTAAATGTAGAGGCGGCTTTTAGTAAGCCCTTTTTTAGCAGACAAAAGTCCAAGTAGGGATCACATTCAGAAGAAAGTGATTATTCTGATCCTTAATCACAAGCCTCCATATGCATACCAAAAGCAAAACAAAAATTGAAGGGTTGAACAGAAATTATAAACTTGACTCAGAAAAATGGTTTATAGATACAATTCTTTGGGATCCTTGAGACATTAGGTCTTCATTCTGAAGTCCTTACAGTTGCTGTGTTATTTACTCATTAAAACTATTCATACATATTATGTGTCAGGCCTTGTGAAGAATTTTAGCAGCTTACCCTTTCACTAAAAAGAATTCTTGTCCCATCAACTTGCTTGTATAAAGAAGACTCATTTCCCATTTTCTGGTTCTTGCAGTCTCAAATGTCTTTCTTGTTGTTGGTTATTAGTAATAGTTTATAAAATTCAAGTGACTGGCTTATAGGGAGTGTCATTTTCATACATACATAAATGCTACTATAGAGTGCTGATGGTTTAGTGGTATGGAGTTAGTTGTACTGCTAACCACAAAAGCACCCAGTTTGAATCGACTGGCTGCCCCACAGGAGAAAGATAGACAGTCTCCTCCCTTTTGTTTTCAGATGTCATCAAGTTGAGTACAATTCATAACAATGCTATTAAGAGCAGATATAAACTCTATCCTATCCTGTGTCATCCTCACAATCTGACATACTTGAGCCCATTCTTACAGTCAGTCTACCTGATTGAGGGAATTCCTTTCTTTTGCAAGCCTTTCCAAGCATAATGTCCCTTCCTCTTTTTGCCCACCTTTCCAAAGAATAGCCTCTCTTGGCAATATGCTCAAAGTATGTGAAATGAAGCTTTACCATCTTTGCCTCCAAGAAGCACTCTGGCTGCAGTTTCTACAAGACTTATCTATTTGGTTTTTTATCAGCTCATGAGATATTCAGTACCCTTTGTGCAATTTATTGCCTTTGAAAATCTGCCTGAAGATCAGGTATTGGTCATTTCCTACTCATCAGTACTTATCAACAAAAAGCTGGCCATAATTTCAGCTAACATTTCTTCTGTTTGATTCTTATTTCTTTTTGTTTCTAGTACCTTTTTAAAGAGAAATCTCAATTCTTCTTTTAAGAGAGCATGCTTTCATGTAATTAATGTTTCAAGATTTCCTATGTTTCACAGAGAAATTATCAGATTAACTGGTTCAATCTGTTACTAGAGCAGAATATTTCTAATAATGTACAATTTATTTTTAATAAAGTATATCAACAGAGACCTACCGGAAGTCCAGGCTGGGTTTAGAAGGGGTCGTGGTACTAGGGATATCGTTGCTGGTGTTAGATGGATCTTAGCTGAAAGCAGAGAATACCAGAAGAATGTCTATCTGTGTTTCATTGATTATGCAAAGGCATTTGACTGTGTGGATCCTAACAAACTCTGGCTGGACTGAGAAGAATGGGAATCCCAGAACATTTAATCGTGCTAATGTGAAACCTATACTTGGACCAAGAGGCAGTCGTCAGACAGAGCAGGGCAATACTGCATGGTTCAAAATTGAGAAGGGTGTATGCCAGGGATGTGTCCTATTTCCATATCTTTTCAACCTGTATGCAGAGCAGATTATCCGAGAGGCTGGGCTCTATGAGGAGAAGCGTGGCATTAGGATTGGTGGACGATCTATCAACAATTTGCGTCGTGCGGATGACACAACCTTACTTGTTGAAACTGAGGAGGACCTCATGCACTTACTGCAGAGGGTCAGGAACTGCAGCCTTCAGTATGGACTGAGGCTCAGTGTCAAGAAGACGAAGATTCACCACTGGACCAATTGGTAGCATCCGATTGGATGGCGAAGAGATTGAGATTGTTCACAGCTTTTGTTTGCTCGGCTCCACGGTCAACTCTCTTCGCACCAGCAGCCAGGAAATCAAAAAGCGAATTGCAATGGGAAAGTCTGCTGTTAGGGGCCTCTCTAAAGTACTCAAGAGCAACGGTGTCTCTCTGGAGACTAAGGTGCGCCTGATACAGGCCATGGTCTTTGCAATCACTTGTTATGCATCAGAGAGTTGGACAATGACTAGGGCGGATAGAAGGAGAATTGACGTCTTTGAGCTGTGGTGCTGGAGAAGAGTATTGAATGTTCCATGGACTGCCAAGAAAACAAACAGATCCATCCTAGAGAGGGTTAAACCAGGCTACTCCTTGGAGGCAAGGATTCTGGGGCTTCGTCTGACATACTTTGGACATATAAGGAGAGACAGGTCCTTGCAGAGGGACATCATGCTTGGTAGGGTATAGGGACAGCGCAGGAGGGGAAGACCCTCTATAAGGTGGATTGATTCAGTGACTGGGGTAATCGGGATGGGTGTGTCAGAGGCCATGCGACTGGCACAGGATAGAGCAGGGTTTAGCGTTGTTGTACATAGGGTCACTGTGAGTCACAAACGACTTGATGGCACATAACAACAACAATGTACTTAGTCTTCAGAATGAATTTCATAATCTGTAACAAAAGAATATTAATTTTCTTTAGTACATTTGATAAATCATTGAAAGTTATTAATTTTATTTTACACCTCAGAATATAATGGAGATAGAACTCAGAAACTCTTATGAAGTGTCAAACATGTGATCTCCTTAGTTTACCATTTGCATATTTACTCAAATTCAGTGCCATGGAGTCCGTTCCTTCATATTGCAACTCTGCATTGGGTTTCCATGGCTATAAATGGTAAGAGGCAGAGACTACCTACCTTTTCCTTTTGGTTAGGAGTCTTAATACATTATGGTCTGTACCATCAGGAGTTCCATCTAACCCAGAAATATCCTCCTGAAAAGCACATACCTCCTACCCTGTACACTGTTTCTCTCACCTATGCTTTTGCACATTTTCCTTCTCCCTGCAATATATTTGTGTATATGAGAGAGAGACTTTGCTATCTTTAAATAAATTTCTAAAATGATAAAGTATTACAAAATTTGGTTAATTCTAATAAATATTTAGGGAGTTCTGGTTGCCTTGTGTTAAGGATCTTTGCTACCAACACAGAAACACGTGGTTCAAACCCACCAGCTTCTCCACAGAAATATGGATAGTCTCCTTCCTTGTGATTTACGACCTCTGAAAACCCACTAGAGGCTCAGCTATGGGTCAGTTCCAACTCAGTGGTCATTAACAATGAATGTTTACTTTCTGTTTTCTTGTTTTCTCTGTGAAAAGGTTTTAAATTTATAGTGCTTAGATTCAGGCACCATCTTCATGCATAAGCTTAGATAAGACCAAGATAATTCTCTTTTCATTGGTGTGTTGTTATAAATGCCATTGAGTTGCCCAGGATTTGATGCCCTGTTTTTAATCAGTCTTACTGATTCTGACACATTTAACCACATTGCCCCAGTTACTGTGTCAAGCTATCTCATTCAGGTCTTCCTCACTGACCTGGGTGTTGGTTAAGGATCCCTTGTGGCACAGTGGATTAAGCATTGAGAATTCAGTGCTTGAAAACCACTAGTTATTCCATAGGTGAAAGAAGAGGCAAACTTCTCTCAAGATTCTGGAATTCCTAAGGGTCAGTCCTGTGGGGAAGCTATGCGTTGGAATCAACTGAACAGCAGTGGTATATGTTAGGAATAACTTATACCCTTCCCACCAATCACCTTTTTAAATAAATAAGTAGCTGAATGATTGAGTAGAAGAAACTATACAATGTTTATCTTCATTGTGCTCATTTGAGTTAACTTTTTAGATCATTGGGAAAAATATATTTGAATGTTGACACATTTTTTCTTTATACTTTTAGAATGTATGAAACCAAGTTGAAGGAATTGGAAACTGATATTGACAAAAAAAATCAAAGCATTATTGATCTTAAACAGCTTGTAAGAGAAGCAGCAGAGAGGGAGCTAAAAGTTGAGAACTATACTAAAGATCTTGAGCAACAGGCAAGTAATATAATTTGCTGTTGTGTTTTTGTTTTGGGGGAGTATTTTTGCTCACTCACTGGAGGGCTTGTTTGTGGTTTTTTAAAATTTTTTATTTGGTTTGCATACAAAATTCATATACATTGTGTTTCATTCATATACGTTGTTTCACACATTCCTTCATTCTCATTTTGTTTCATAAGCTCATTTTCATACTTTGTGTTTTCTAAAATGTCCATTAATCCATGCCCCTATTAACCCTATCTTTTAAGGGCCCCACTGGATCTTTCTTAATACCTTCACCCCCCCTCCTTCCATCCACCAAACTCCATCACCCCATGATTTCTCCTCTTGCCCACCTTCAGCCCCTCTGTTGCACCTTCCCCCATTAGACCCTTGTGCACATCTTACTAATTATCTAGCTATTTTTATAATAATGGTCTTATGCTTTATGTGTCCTCATGAGATTATGTTAGTTTACTCAGTATAATGCTTTGTAGACTCTGTTTTGTTACTTTATAAAATTGTTGTTCCTTAGAGAAGACTGATATGCTATTATAGTTACAAACTAAATTGTCAGTTTCTGTGTTTGGGGAGAACATTGTCCTTATTGTGAAAGCATTTGTCTGTCAGTTTGTCCTACTAAGATAACTTGTAGGTTACTGTGATACTGAAAGCTATGCCACCAGTGTGTCAAAATGCCACAAGGGTTACCCATGGTGGACAGGTTTTAGTAGAGCTTCCAGATTAAGACACACTAAGAATCAGGACTTAAATAATAGGCCACTTAAAACCCTATGACAGTAGAGGAACATGGATAGTTACAGTACTAGTAGTAAATCCCAGATAGGAAATCAGTTGGAATGAGGAAAAACAATGGAAAAAAATCCTTTAATAGTTGGAACATGGAATGTGCATAGCTTGAATGTTGGAAAACTAGAAATTGTGAAAAATTAAATGGAGTGCATGCATGAACATTGACATTCTAGGCTTTAGTGAGATGAGTTGGATTAGCTTTTGGCACTTTGAATCAGATAATCAATCACATGGTATAATATTCTGGCAGTGAAAATCAGAAGAATGGTGTCATATGCATATAAAAAGTTAATTTCAAGTTTTACCCTGAAATACAATGCTGTGAGCTGTAGAATATTATCTGTATGCATACAAGGAAAACCTGTTAATATGACCTTTATTCAAATGTACACTCCTACATCTAGAGCAAAAGAGGAAGAAATTGAAATTTTTTACCAAATCTTGCAGTCCAAAATTGACCAAACATGTAATCAAGATGTGTTAATGACAGCTGGTGACTGGAATAAAAAAATTGGAAACAATGAAGAGGGAATTAGTAGTTAGAAAATATGGTCTTGGTGACAGAAATGAGGATGGCAATATAATGATCAAATTTTGTTTTTCTATGATGTATACATTGTATATACTTTTTTTAAAAAAAACACAAGTGGTGACTTTACACATTGACCTCACCTGATGGGTTGAATAGGAGTCAGATTGACTGCATCTGTGGAAGGAAGTGTTGGAGCTCAATAAAAGCAGTCAAAATTAGGCTAGGTGCAGACTGTGGGTCAGATCATCAATTACTCATGTGTAAGTTTAAGTGAGGCTGAAGAAAATGAAAACAAGTCACTGAGAACTAAAATATGTAGTATGATCTTCAGTTTATTCCACTTGAATTTCAAAACAATCTTAAGAATAGTTTTGAGGCATTGAACATCAGGGATAGAAGATCAGATGAGTTGTGGGATGATATCAAAGATATCATCCATGAAACGAGCACAAGGTCATTATGAAGACAGAGGAGAAAGAAAATAGAAAACCAAAATGAGTGTCAGAAGAGACTGTGAAAATTGCACTAGAACATCAAGAAGCAAGACAAAGGGAAAACATACCGAAGTAAAAGAGCTGAACAGATGATTTCAAAGGGTAGCTCGAGTAAACAAAGCCAAGGTTTATGATGGAATGTGCAGGGAGCTGGAATTTAAGGGTATAAAGGGAAGAACTCGCTCTGCATTTCTCAAGCTGAGAGAACTGAACAAATTTAAGCCTCGAGTCGCAATATTGAAAGATGCTATGCGCAATATATTGAACGACCCAGGAAGCATTAAAAAAAGATCAAGGGAATAGACGGAGTCATTATCCTAAAAAGAACTTACTTTACACTGAAAAATTTCATGAAGTACCATATGAGGAGGAGCCAATGATAATGAAGGAAGAAGCGGAAGCTGCAATTGAAGGCATGGAAAAAAATAAGATCCTAGAAATTGATGGAATACCAATTGACTTATTTCAATTAACACATATAGCCTTGGATGCACTCACCATTCTATACCAGGAATTTGAGAAAGAGAACAGTCTGGCCAACAGATATTTGTTCTCATTCCCAAGAAAGATGATCCAACTGAATGTGGAAACTATCAAACAATATCATTATTACATGTAAGCAAAATACTCTTGAAGATCATTCAAAAACTGCTAGAGCAGTACATAGATTCAGAACTTCCAGAAGTTCAAGCAGGATTTAGAAGAGGCCATGGCACCAGGAACATCACTGCTGTTGTCAGATGGATCCTGGCTAAAAGTAGAGAATACCAGAAGAATGTTTGTGTTTTATTGACTATGCAGAGGTGTTTGGCTATGTACATTGTAAGTTGTGGCTGACATTAAGAAGAATGGGAGTCCTAGAGCACTTAATTGTGCTCATGTGAAACCTAGACCTAGACCAAGAAGCTGTTGTGCGAACTGAGCAAAGGAACACTGTTGTTATATGTCAGTGAATTACCTACTACTCATAGCAACCCTATGTATAACAGCTCTGAACCCTGCTCTATCCTGAGCCAACCTTATTGTCTTTCACATACCTGCTCCCATTACCCCAGTCACTGAGTCAGTCCATCTACTCAAGAGTCGTCTTCTCTTGTGTTGTCCCTCCACCCTCTCCCATGCATGATGCCCCTCTCCAAGAACTGGTCCCTCCTTGTAACATACCCAGAATATGTCAGATGGAGCTTGCGAATCTTCAGCCTCTCCAGGATGAACTTGTTTGTTCTCTTAGCAGTCCATGGTATAGTCAATACTCTTGTCCAGCATTACAGTTCAAAGGCATCAGTTCTCTATCATCCCTAGTCATTATCCAGCTTTCTGATACATAACAAGTAATTGTGACGACCATGGCCCAGATCAGGCACACCTTAGTCTCCAGACTGACATCATTGCTCTTCAGTACTCTGGAGAGGTCCTGACAGCTGACTTTACCAGTGCAATTCATCTTTTGGTTTCCTGGTTGCTTGTACCAAGAGGGTTGATTGTGAAGCTAAGCAAATGAAAGCTGTTAACAATCTTAATCTCTTCACCATCTATTAGGATTCTGCCATTTGGCCCAGTGTTGAGAATCTTTGTCTTCTTAATGTTGAGCTTCAATCTTTCCTATGTCATTTAAAATTTAGAAGGGAATGTGTCAGTGTTGTATTCTCTCTCCATAACTATTCAGTCTCCATGTTAAGCAAATTATTTGAGAAGTTAGACTCTTTGAAGAAGAGTGTGGCATCAAGATGAAAGACTCATTAATAACCTGTGTTATGGAGATGGTACTTTTGCTGGCTGAAAGTGAGGAGGACTTGGAGCACTTGTTACAGAAGATCAAAGAATGCAGCCTTCAAAATGGATTGTATCTAAATATTAAGAAAACCAAAATTCTTACTGCTAGACTAATTAATTGGCAATATCATGATAGATCAAGAAAAATTATAACTGTCAACAACTTTATCTTGCTTGGATTGACAGCCAGTAAACACCCTTGGTACCAATAGTCAGGAAATCAGAAGAGATACTGTACTGGGAAAGTATGCAGTTAGAGACCTCTCTAAATCATTGAGAAATAATGAAGTCAGTTTGAGGACTAAGGTATGTCTGATTCAGGCCAAGGACTTTCTGATAACTTGCCAAGCTTCTGAGAGCTAGAGAACAAATAAGGATGGCAGAAGAATAATTAATGCCCGTGAGCTGTGGTGCTGGAGAAAAGCACTGAACAACATCCCATGGACTGCCAAAAGAACATACAAATTTGTCTAGGAGAAAGTGCAACCAGATTGCCCTTTGGAGGCAAGAATGATGAAGCTTCACTTTACGTACTTCATGTATATTGTTATGGGCAATTCTTTGGAAAATGATCTGATGCTCGAAAAGCAGAGGACTGGAAAATGAGAGAAAGACCATCAACCAGGTGGATTGACACAGTGACTGCTGCAGTGGGGTCTAGTGTGTGCCAAGAAGTGTGAGACTCGCCTAGTGTAGGACAGGGTTCAGATCTGTTGTTCATAGGGTTGCTATGGGTTGTACTTAATTTGACGGCACCTAACAACAACTCATTTAAATGAATCTGGCTGTTTAATGAAACAGTTTTACATGTTCTTTATCATTATGCTATGTCACATGCATACACACACACACACACACACACACACACACACATGACATCCTACTGTTTCTCATAGTGGTATTTTGTAGTTTTCTTTAAAATAAAAAGGCCATTTGTGTCTCTAATTAGGCTTATTCCCTGTTGTTGTTAGGTGTCATAGAGTCTAGTACACTCACAGTGACCCTATAAACAAAAGATCTGAACTGTGGTTTAGCCTGCTCCATGCTCACACTTCCTGACACACAGAGCCCACTGCAGCAGTCAATCCCTAGTATCTCATTTTGTGGTTGGCTGTTGTAAATGGTATTGCTTTCTTAGTTTCCTTCTCTGTATTTTCTTTGTTACTGTAGCAGAATCTCACTGATATTTGGATATTGAGTTTGTATCCTGTCACTCTACTCCATTAGTCTACTAGGTCTAGCAGTTTTTATGTTGACTTCTTGGGATTTTCTGTGTATGCCATTATATCATCAGCATTTAGGGACAATTTTACCACCTCTTTACCAATCTGGATGTTTATAACTTCCTTGCCTTGTCATATTGCCCTAGAAGTTCTCAAAATATAATATTGAATAGGAATGGTGATAGTGGGCATCCTTGTCTTGTCCCTGTTTGCAAGGGGAAATGCCTTTAGTCTTTTTCCATTGAGAATGATGCTGGCTATTGGTTTTGTATGTATATTTTTCACTATATTGAGGTTTTTGTTCTTTGCTTTGTTAATGTGATGAATTACATTTTGTTCCTTCTGTTGAACCAGCCTTGCATACCGGTTAGGAATCCCACTCGGTTATGATGGGTTTTTTGGGGGCCAGGGGAGGGTTTGTTTTCTTTTGTTTTCATTTACTGTTGGGTTGATTCTATTGGCCAGGATTTTGTTAATTATTTTTTCATCTATATTCATGAGAGATACTAGGTCTGTAGTTTCTTTGTTGGCAATGTTTTTGACTGGGTTTGGTATTAGAGTTGTGCTTACTTTATAGAATAACTGTGAGGGTTTTCTATTTCTTTTAAATAATTTAAGTAGAATTGGTAATAGACTCTGAACGTTTGGTAGAATTCAACTGTGAAGCCATCTGGGTCTGGTCTTTTTTTTGGAGGCAGACTTTTCTGACCTGCTCAGGGTCTTTTGCAATGAGTCTGTTCACGTATTCTACATCTGTCTGTGTCAGATGATGTGAGTTTCAAGGAAATTATTCATTTCTTCTAGGTTTTCAAATTTATCTAAGTATGGCTTTTTATAATCCTACAATATTATCAGTTTAATTTCATCTGGTTCTGTTGTGATGGCACCTCTATAATTTCCTGAGTTATGTCTTCTCTTTTCTTAAGTTCACCAGTGGTTTGCAAATTTATTTTACCCTTTTGAAAAACCACCTCCTAGTCTCATTGATGATTTCAGTTGTTTTTCTATTTATCTGTCTCATTGGTTTCAGCTGTTCTTGTAATTTCTGTTCTCTTCGAGTTTGGGGTGTTAGGATGTTGTTATTTTTTCTATTTGATGGAGGTGATTAGTAAGGTCATTAAGTTCTTTCTTTTTTTATGTGTTTGCCAGTTGCTATGAACTGTCCCCAGATGTTAACTGTATCCCAGAGGGTTTTATATGTTGTAGTTTCATTATCATTTGTTTCCAGGAACTTGGCATACACCTTTCCCAATTTTTAACAATGCAGTGTTTCCTTGCTCTGTTCTGATGACTGCCTCTTGTTCCAAGTACATGGTAAAACTGATGAATAATATTGGATCAGTAGTAAAGTATTGGTCTGCTAATCAAAAGGTCATCAGTTCCAATCCACCAGCTGCTCCTCAGTAAAAAATTAGCAGTCTTCTCTTGTAAAGAGTTACAGCTTCAGAAACTCAATGGCATATAGATAAGAGTTAAAACTAACTTATAGCAGTGAGTTTGCTTGTGAGTTTATATTAGTTGTGACTTATAGTAAGGTTCACTCTTGGTGTTGTATGTTGCCATTGTTTTATACAAATGCATAATATGCCCCAAAACCATATCCACTGCTATCATGTTGATTCTTACTTAACAGCATTATGTTGTAGGATAGAAGACTAAGTATTTACAGCACTAGCCTACCACATCTTTCTTGTATGCCTAATATATTATTAGCCTTTATAGTAATTTGCAATATAATTTCACTACCTTGACACACTTTTCGCTTTATTTACTCATCAAACTGAATGTGGGAACAGTCAAACAATATCATTAATATCATGCAAACAAAATATTGCTGAAGATCATTCAGAAACAGCTGGAACAGTACATCGCTATGGAACTGCCAGATGTTCAAGCAGCATTTAGAAGAGTCTGTGGCACCAGGGTTATCATTGCTGATGTCAGATGGATCCTGGCTGGGAATAAAGAATACCAGAAGAATGTCTATTTTTGCTTTATTGACTATGCAAAGGCATTTGACTCTGGGGATTATAACAAGTTGTGGCTGACATTGAGTATAGGAATCCCAGAGCACTTAATTGTGCTCATGCAGAACCTATACCTGGTCCAGGAGGCTGTTGTGCAAACAAAGCAGGGGAACACTGCATGGTTTAAAATTGTAAAGGGAGTGTGTCAGGATTGTATTCCCACTCCATACTTACTCAGTCTGTATGCTGAGCAATTTATCTGAGAAGCTGAACTATATCTACCACTGGATAGATAGGCAGCGTCATGAGAGAATGACAGTGAATAAGGGTGACAGAAAAAGAATTGATGCAGGGAGCTCTGGTGGTCTAGTGGCAAGACGCTGCACTGCAATCCCAGAAGTACGTGGTTCAAATCCACCAGATGCTCTGCTGGAGAAGGAGGGGGCAATCTCCTCCTGTACCAGTCAGATCTGATTTGACGGTACTGGAAAAGAGCACTGGACATCCCTTGGATGGCCAAAAGAACAAACAGATATGTCTTGGAGAGAGTGTAGCTGAAGTGCTCTTTGGAGGCAAGAATAATGAGGTTTTGCCTTCACATCCTTTGAGCATGTCGCTAGGAGGGGCTATTCCTTGTAGAAGGCTATGATGCTGGGAAGGGTGGAGGGTTGGCCAAGGAGAAGACGACCCTCAGCCAAATGGATTGACACAGTGACTGGTACAATGGCTCTTTTGTGGCAGGAAGTGTGAGGATGGTACAGGATAGAACAGGGTTTAGATCTTTTGTTCATAGGTCACTATGCATTATACTTGATAGCACCTAACAATGATGACAATAACAACATTCATCACTACCTATCTCCTTCTTAACTCAATGCAACTTCTTTAGCCTTTTCCAGATATCAGTGTAATCGGATACAGAATCCAGGTTTTTTTAGACTGGTTTATTTCACTTTGTTGTTTAATCGAGTCAATTTGAGTTCATTGGTTCCTTAATTTTTATATAACTTAATGACTCATTTTTAAAAATCACTGAGTAAGACTTCAGTATATGGATGCATCAGTTTATTTATTTACCCATTCAACAGTTCATTTTGTATTTGAGTAAGTGTTCATCAATTATGAATTAATTATGATTAAATCCATTTGCAGGTTTTTGTATTTACACAGATTTTCAGTTCAGTTGTTGTTGAGTACAGTTGAGTTGTAACCAACCCATAGCTGTTGCTTCAGCAGGTTTTCAGAGGCATTAAATTCCACAGGAGGTGAGTGCTTATCTTTCTCCTGTGGAACAGCTGGTGGATTTGAACTGCATACCTTTTCATTGGTAGCACATTACTTACCACAAAGCCACAAGAGCTCAACTTACTTAATAGGAACTCAGTGGCTGGACTGTGTGGTAAGCCATGTGTGCCTTTGAAAACTCAGTTTTTAATATTATGCCTTATTGAAAATGTGTATTAAGTCCTTCAATTTTAGTACCAAACTTTCTCTTTTAACTTTTCATTGTGCCCAAAGATTGAGATCCTGAAGCATGTTCCTGACGGTGATAAGACAGAACAAGGCCTTAACCAGGAGCTCCAGGTTCTGAGGTATACTATATACTTATGAGACAACATTTCTCCTTCCCTTTTTTCCCCCCCTCTCTTTTTCTTTTTAAATGTAACCATGTTTTCAACCTTGGCTACTTAATAGGCTTATTATGCCTAAATAGTGGCAAGGGATTTAATATCAGCCACTGTTTTTTTATGTAATTGATTGTTAAAAAGGGTTAATCTAATTCTAATAGGTTTCCACTTTATAATTTAAACTTTACCAATAGTATAGAATGTATTTAATGTTAGCTTATCAGAAATAAATGCTAATGAGAGAAAACTAACTTCAGGGGTCTCTTACTGTGTCCTCATTAAGTTGCTCTTTGAGAATGGTTTTATTGAATAATCAAGAGTTAAAATGAGTACATGTATGTTTTTATAAATATTAGCTAGTCCTGAAACTAGTGCATGAGTAGTTTATAAATCCCTATGTATATTGTGAATGTATTTTTTTTGATAATGTATTATTTTGTTCTAGATTAGCTAACAGTCAGCTGGAAAAAGAAAATGCAGAATTAATGCATAAGATACAAACTAACAAAGACCAAAGTGGCGATGAAAGCACCAAACCAGGTAATATATTTCATAACATTTGTATAGCATTGTCAATGAACTCATTTTCAATTTAAGGTTTTCCTTTTAATTTGTTCAGACTTTTGCTGTATTACCATAGGATCATTCTCTGATAAGACTTTTTACTCTGGTCTTTCTTTTGATACCATGCCTCAAAAATTATTCCTATGAGCCTTTTGTGTTATTTGACCATAGAGTAACAAGTACCACCACTTTTTCCTGCTGGTGCTCCATTTGAGTGTTAAAGATTTTATCAAGATGCAGTGTTAAGTAATGAATACAAGGTTTTGTCCCTAGTTTCAAAGTATAGATCTGCCACATGAAGAGAATATAGCTTCCACCCAGTGAAGGACCTTCATTTGCTGATGTGCCAAGACTTAAAACAAGGGCAAACAGCTGCAAAACATCCGTTAATAATTAGAACATGAAATGTATAAAACATGAATCTTAAGAAAATTAAAAGCTGTCAAAAATGAAATGAAACTCAAAAAGATTGACATCCTAAGTATCATTGAGCTGAGATGAACTGGTATTGGCCATTTTTAATCAGATAATCACATGATATGCTATGCCAGAAATGACAAATTGAAGAATGGTATAGTGTTCATTGTCAAAAAGAATATTTCACAGTCTATCCTAAAATATAATACTATTGAGTTATAGGATACTATCCATAAGCAATGAAGTTCTATTAATACAACTCTTATTCAAATATATCACCAACTATGAAAACCAAAAATGAAGAAATTGAGCATTTATACCAATTTTTGCAGCCTGAAATTGAACATGCAGTCAAGATGCATTAATAATTGGTAACTAGAATGCAAAGGTTACAAACAAAGAAGGACTGGTAGTTGGAAGATAAGGCGGCTTTAGTAATAGAAATGAGGCTGAAGATTGAATGATAGAATTTTGTACAATGGATGATTGATTCATTGCAAGCACCATTTTAGCTCTGGTAGCCTAGTGGCAAGAAGCTGCACTGGAATCCCCAAAGCACGCAGTTCAAGACCACCAGCTGCGGCATGGGAGGATGAACAGTCTCTTCCTATGTGATTAGCTAACTGCCTCTGAAAACGCACCAGAGGGTCAGCTATGGGTCAGTTCCGACTCTATGGTACACAACAACAAACACACAGAGTTCACCTGATGGACTACACAGGAATCAGATTGACCACATCTGTATAAAGAGTCCTCTTGAAGCTCAGTATCAACAGTGAAAACTAGGCTAGGAGCTCAGTATGGAACACTCTATAAAATACATCAAGTTCAAATAATAGCTGAAGAACATTCTCCTCTGTACAAACCTTTCATGAGAACCAGAATGTGACCCTGAGTGTATATTAATGGAATTTAAAAACCAGAGATTTGAGTCATTGAACAATAGTGACCAAAAATCAGACAAGTTGTTAAATGACATTAAGGATATCACCCTTATAGCAAAAAATCATTACAGAGACAGGGAAGAAAGACCAAACTAGATGTCAGAAGAGACTGAACTGAAAAGAAAAGAAATCAAACCAAGGAGAAAAGAAATCAAAATAAGGGAAGAAGAATGCTGAGAGAAGAGAACTGAACAGATTATAGAATGCATTTCAAGAAGACAAAAATAATGAAATGTGCAGAGAGTTGGAGATAGAAAGCCATAAGGGACGATCATGTTTGATGTTTTTCAAGTTGAAAAAACTGAAGAACAAATTCAGGCCTCAAGTTGCAACACTAAAAGCATCTACTATCCAAATCTTGAATGGTGTAGGAAACATCAAAAGAAGATGTAAGGAATACACAGCATCTGTGTGTAAGGAATACACAGCATCTGTGTGTAAGGAATACACAGCATCTGTTTATAAAAAATACTCAGTTGACACTGAACCATTTCAGGAAATGGTATATGAACAATGACCAATAGTACTGAAGAAGTCCAAGCTGCACTGAAGACACTGGCAAAAACATAAGACCTCAGGAATTAATAGCACACTCATTGAGGTGTTTCAGGAAACAGATGCAACTCTAGACATTCTCATCAGTCTCAGTCAACAAATATGAAATTTGCTCCCATTCTCAAGATATGCTACATCAGAACGTGGAAACTATCAAACTATATCATTAAATTACATATAAGTAAAATCTTTCAAAGACTTTTTTTTTTAAATGGCCGGAACAGTCTATTGATAGAAAACTCTCAGAAATTCAAGCTGAACTCAGAACAAGCCGTGGCACAAGGGATATTGACGCCAGATTGTTACTGGCTGAAAGTAGAGAATACCAGAAAAATGTTTACTTGTGTTTTATGGATTTATGCAAAGACATTTGACTGTGTGAATAATAACAAATATGGCTAACACTGAAAAGAATATGAACTTAAGTGTGCTTAGGTGAAATCTCTACATTAATACCAGAAGGAAGGAATATCACTTGATTTAACATCAGGAAAGGTGTACATCAGGATTGTATCCGTTTTCCATGCCTATTTATCTTTTATCTAATTAGTTTCTCTGTTGAGCTTCTCAGGAGAAAAACTAATTCAAGAAGCCGGACTGTATGAAGAATGTAGCTTCAGAACTGGATGAAGACTCAGCAGCTTGTGTGTTAAGCAGATGACAGAAGCTTGCCTGCAGAAAGTGAAGAAGACTTTAATAACTTACTGACAAAGATCAGAGGCTAGAGCCTTCAGTTCTTGATTATATCTTGTAAAACGAGCAAGAGCCATATAGGGATGACCACATCTGACGTGTACTCTACTAATTACACAGGAGGGATCTTTTCCAGTCATCACCATCCACACAAAAAACCAATTTTCCATGAGGTCAGACATGTCCTCCACGCTGCAGCACCTATTTCCACTAATTCCACCGCTGTTCTTACTGCTTTACTGGGTCCATAATTCATTGTAGTAGCTTAGCAAGAACAAGGAACCATGCAATTATGTTTTTTGTTGTTAGGTGCCACCAAGTCAAATACTACTCATATCTGAACCTATTCTATCCTGTGCTTTCTTTGTACTTCCTAACACGCAAGAGTGCATTACAGCAGTCATAGCATTAATAGACCTGGTTGACAGTCATACTGTCCTTGGCCAACCTCCACCCTTCCCAGCATCATGACCTTCTCCAAGGAATAGCCCCTCTTAGCAACATGCTCAAAGGATGTGAGGTAAAGCCTCCAAAAAAGAGCACTATGGCTGCACCCTCTCCAAGATGTATTTGTTTGTTCTTTTGGCAGTCCATGGGATGTTCAGTGCTCTTCTCCAACATCACAGCTCAAAGGCATAAATTCTTCTGTCATTTTTATTCACTGTACAGCTCTCAGATGCATAGTAAGTGATCAGAAAGACTGTGGCCTGAATAACATGCACCCTTGTCCTCAAAGCGGTCCCTAACTGCTGCTTTTCCCAGTGCAATGTATCTTCTTCTTTCCTAACTGCTGATACTAAGTAGGATGAAGTTGTTGACAGTTTAAATCTCTTCTCCATCCATCATAATGTTGCCTAACAGTCCAAGTGGTAAGAGTCTTGGTTTTCTTGACATTGAGATAAAATCCATGCCGAAGCCTGCATTCCTTGATCTTTTGCAACAAGTGCTTCAAATACTCACTTTCAGCAAGCAGGTTGTGTCATCTGCATAACACAAGTTATTGATGAGTCTTCCTCCCATCATGACGCCACATTCCTCCTCATAGAGTCCAGCTTCTGAATAATTTGCTCAGCATACAGATTAAATAGGTATGAAGAGAGAATACAACCCTGAGACACTTCCTCAGTTTTAAACTATGCAGTGTTTCCCTGCTCTGTTCACACAACACCCTTGTGGTCCAAGTAAAGGTTTCACATGAGCACAATTTTAATGATGTTTATTAGGGAAGTCAAAAGGCTAAAATTCATGTTGATAGCAGGATGCATTCAGTCAGGACAGCTTCTGAAGTGTGCTCATAAACCCTTTAGCCTTCAGTCTCATGGCTTTAGGTAAGTGTTACTTATTACTTAGCTCTTAGTCCTGCTACCTCTGGTGTCTCACTCCCCATCTCCATCCCCTTTAGGCGAAAGATTCTGACTCTCATTTTGGGGGGAGGGGTCGCAGTATTAAGGTCAGCTTTGCCTCACATCCAGTGTCTGGTTCTCTGCTGCTGGCTGTCCTGTAGGTGTGGCTGGGGCAAGACTCTGGCTCCGAAGGGCACGCTACATTCACTGCTTCTTTGCTGATAATTGGAATCTGTCACGTCTGCTCAATTTAGTGGTTAGACTTATGGATAGGCTAACACACCCTATTCTCATACTCCTACTCATCCACATGTCAAAGTCCTAGTCAGTGTCTAGGGAGGGCATTTAGAATAATAAACCCTTTCAGGACACATCTCAACATCAAGAAAACAAAAATTTTCAACACTGGACTAATAGGCAATATCCTGATAGATGGAAAAAAATGATTGAAGTTGTTAACTATTTCATCTTATTTCATTACACAATCAATACCATAGGTGGCAGCAGTTAAGAAATCAAAAGATGTGCTGCATTAGGAAAATCAGCTGTCGAGGATCTCTCCAAAATACTAAAAAGCAAGGATGTCAATTTAAAATTCAGATGTACTTGATCCAACCAACTCTTGATATTTTCTTTTGCTTCTAATGTCTCTGAAAGTTGAGACACTGATAAGGAGCATGAAAGAACAATCAATGCCTTTGAATTGTAGTGTTGGCGAAGAGTATTTAATGGACTATGGACTATGTTAGAATCAATGATGGTGAAACTTTGTCTCACTTAG